ATCTCTGGCCTGTACCCCAGTTCTGTATGAATAAATAAATAAATCTTTAAAAAAAAAAAAAGGTAATATTGGGTGGCTTCATTTAAATATGAAAAATATAGAGAAACAAAAGGGTCAGGTAAAAGACAAAACTTGCAAGCTGATAATACAATGGGAGAGGTCAAAGTGGAAGGAACGAACAAGAGATGGTGGAAATTGATCATGGGTGGTGTTAGAAAATTACAGCATGATGTTAGAATATAAATATAAAGACAAAAGTTTATGACTTTAATACTGTAAGCTCAAGCCTCAATTCAACTCCAGTAACGTTTTTTCACTCAATTTCAGCTACCCAAACAGCTAAACATGCCAGGCTTTAGGACTGAACATTATTTTATGCCTTTTCCTAGTTCTTACATTTACAAATGGCTTTCCTTGATAAAAAAAAACAAAAAACAAAAAACTTTTTATCTTATTTCATTCCCATGAAATGGATTCTTTATGCCTATGACATGTACAACCTCACTGCCTCTTTTCAGTTTAGTAACTTTTTCCACATTTTATCTTCCCATCTAGCTGGAACCTATGAGAGGCCATTTTAATTATGCTTTCTACAGCATCAGTTCCCTAACTAATCTTTTGTACTTAACAATTTGCATCCATTTTTTCCATTCTTACCCCTAGGAATGCCAAGTCCTATGAAAAAATAGTTTCACTGAAAATGGTATTCAGACTCAAGTGGCACATTTTACTATTTTGTATCCCTTCATATCAATATAAAAATGACTTCTCTTTGGGGCCTCCTTGGTGGTGGAGGAGTTATCATGCCTCTGTGGCCTGAGATTGCTCCCCAGCGAAGAAGCCAGGAGTCAGCTAACCCGTGTACAGTGCTTGACTGCTGCTCCCCACAGCAGTGTATTTCAGTATTTCTACCTGTTCTGCTCCCCACTCTGTCTCTGATGAATACTCTCACTCCCCCAAACCTCTGGCCTACATTCCAGTTCTTGTGTGCATAAATTAAAAAAGGAAATCTTTTTAAAAATAACTTCTCATAACTATCTATTTCAAGGAATTTCTATGCTCTCATCTTTCAGCCTCAATCTCACCATTTTTTTCCTACAAAAAATAAAGTTCTGGTCTTCCCTGGTGGCGCAGCGGGTCAAAGCACAGCATTAAGAAGCTAAAGTCACTTCTGCATGAGTTCAATCCCCGCCTGCCCCGGAGGAGATCCACAGGGTGCAGCAGACCTCTCCTGACCAACCTGCTGCTCACCTCAGCAGTGTACTTCTTCTAAATGCCTGTTATGCTCCCCACTTTGTCTCTGGTGAATCCTCTCACTGCCCCTGAGCCTCTGGACTGTATCCCAGTTCTGTATGTACAAATAAATAAATCTTTAAAAAAATAAAGTTCTTTTAGTCAACATCTTAGGCTCATTAAATGTGTTACCATTTTCTGTTTTTCCTCCTTAAACCTTTTCAAGGCTGTTTTTCCTATACTTATCTTTTCACATGTGTCTTCACTGTCTTTGGTTTTTCA